TACCTAAAAATCCATCCATCCATCCATTGTCAACCGCTTATCCTGCGTACAGGGTCGCGGGGTGAATCTAAAAATAAGTAACTTTAATAATAAAATATTGCTCTATGCAGTTTTGGTATAGTGTGGTGTTTTAACGTTTCTTAACAAACCCAGAGGTTATGTATTTGGAAGAGAAAAGGAAGGTGTTCAACAAGATAAAGACTCAAACTGTCCTTTGTGTCTTTTGTAGAGTTTCCATACTGTCTCAGAAACTAAAACAAGACTCTGGAATGATACTATGAATTAAAATTTGCAGTAGAAAAATCCCAAGTCTGCATTTAAGGTATGTTCGATTGGCTTAAAAGGTGAATCGGCTAATCAAAAGTGTGGACTGCCTCTATCTATTTGGTAATCCTGTATTCCCAGCCATACATCATAGCTCTACAGCTCAGTTGAGCTCCAGTCCTGGTATAAAGGTCAGTAGCTCCAGGCTGTCCGTCTGTCTGCCTGCATCTCTCTCTTTTTCTCTGCTTCTTGAATGCCTAAATAAGAAAGGTTAGTAGATTCAGCTGCTCTTGCTTGAAAGGTCATGTTGGAAAGCAGACAGGAACCATGCAGGATACTCTTATCAGTATTATTTGTCCGGTAGTTTGCTTTGGCAACAGATACTGTGTGTCTGAATGTGCTTTTGTGCCCTGTGAATATCTCTACTGGCCGCACAGGGATGTATTTTTTGGATAAGTAACAGTTTGGTCTTTAGAGAAATTCTGGATGCAATACTTTGTGTGGTGAGAAGTCCAAATGATTGTGGGGATGCTTTTTGACCAGCCTTGATTATTAGCCAGTGCATACACTGGTGGAGGGAGGGTATTGAGTGGTCCCATTAAAACATAAGATTCAGCTCATCTGGGGAGACAGCTGTGGAGTGTGAGTATGAGCTCTGGTGTAGGGTCTCCAGAGGAAATAATGATTTTCTGTTTGTTTAGAGGCAGCTGTAACCCACATTGCAATGGTCACCATCTCAAATGGGTCTTGCATTGCTCTGTAGTATCTACTATTAATGGTGACATATATATTAATTAATTCTAGCTAAATAAAGCAAAGCTAATTTCATTTTGTCGTTACTTCATAATGTCATGCAGATGAGGACATTGTTGACCTGGCTTAGCCTTGGCATGTCAGTCAAAGAGGAGGGCAATTAAACTGACCCCACTCTCCATGAGAGAAAGAGCACAATTGAGCACAAGAATGGAGGTAGGATCAAGATAAATTTGAAAGACTGGGGTGCACCAGGAGACAGAGAGAATATGAAAAGGAGAGACAAAGAAAGTGGAAAGTGGCAATGCAACCCTTCAGGGATCAACTAGAGGAGGTAGCGCGGCACCGAGAGAGATGAATTGAGTGGAATGGACGTGAACTGGAAAAGATAGAGCAAGAAACTGAAAGTAGGAGAAAGTGTGGAGTTGAAGTGAGGAAAGGACCTAAATTTAGACATGGAAATCAGGAGAGAACAGCTGGCTCCTTCCCTCAGGAGCTGCGTTGAAATCAGGTCTGGGTGGCCAGAGGGGAGAATAAGGGAACCTACTCCACTGGCCAATTAGGCGCACAGAGCACTGCACTGTTCTAATATAACCATCATTGTGGCCCCTTTGGCCCTTTTAGTCCCACTGGACATGTAGCGCCAGACACTGACGCAAGGCTTAGGCAGAGGGATCCCCGGACTATTGTAACTTTGTGTAGCCACTAGTACTGCTGGAGAGGGGAGGAGAGGAATGGAGAGAACAAAAGGGAAAGAAAGGAAATGTAAGAAATATTGGTCAAAAACATATCTACAGTATACTATGTACTCTCTATCTTGCCACCTATTTATTTCTTGCATTACAATTCAAATGCTATTGCATTGTGATGTATTTTTATTTCTTACTCTTCAATGAAAATTTGGATATTTTGGAAGCACCCATATTCCCAAGGGGCGTGTTTAGCACTTTTTAATCACTTTTAATTAATCAAATCACTCAAATCTCTTTCTTGTTTGTCAGCTGACAATACAGCAAGTCGGCATATCCCCAGAGTGTCTCCAGTGACAATTTGCAGTGATACATCCACTGCAGTAATAAACTGAAATTATACACTGTGTCATATTGTGCAGAACCTCACTCAGAATTCATAATTTCTACCATTCGGAATGGAGGTTAACCATTAACTTCCCTTTGTGGCCAGCACAAAAGAAATAAAATGCATCACACTGGGCTGTATGTCGCCCAACTGCATGAGTGAGAAAAATGAGAAAAAGTAAGTGATTTAAAGAGAGGAAGTAATAAAGAGCGAGGGTAGGCGCAGGAGAACGGTAAATCGTTGGCAGATCATGCCTCATGCAAAACTTTCATGAATAAAACATATTCCTAGCCTCCCATAGCTCAGATCCATTTTTCCTCCGTTTCCCTCCTCTTCCCTCTCTATCTCTCACACGCATGATTAACCTCAGGAGGCCTTAATCAACGCTGGAAATGACCCGTGCTCCTTGACTTCCCTCTCTCTGCCTCTTTTTCCCTCCTTCACCTCATTGTCTCTCCTCCCAGCGTGTCCTTCACCGCAGGTTTGTCACTGACGGGGTTTGCCTCACCTGCTAACCCTGTAGACGGGCGCTATTTGAGGTTTTGTTTATCTTACCTGTGCAGTCATTAGCTGAAGTAAGGAAAACACAAAATTGCCTGCTGAATGGGATCCAACACATTAACAGCGTTTGAATGGAAATTCAATTTAATAAGTCCTCTGTTCTTTTTCTTTCTTTCTTTCTTTCTGTCTGTCTGTCTGTGTAAGATCTTTTCCCTGGGGGGGGGGCTTTATTCACTCAGTCTTTAAAACCTGCCCCCCCCAATCTCACACAAGCGCAAATGCACCAAAGCACACTAATACACACAACAACAGTGTGAGATGCCCAGGGTTCCGAAAACTGCCAGGTAGTGCCAGTTGCAAAAGCGACCTGTCCATGGTGCTGAAAACTAGCTCTGCGGAATTATATAGATCTGTTTATTTCTGTTTCTCACACTGGATGCAGCCAATACACGCACCTACATCCACACATGCACACAGAGTCCACAGAGACCAGTTTTTAATTGGTCTTCCCTGTGTAGCTGAGGTTTCAGGGTTGGTACTGCAGGCTAAATGCCCACTGTGTGTTCAATGTAAGGTTCCAATTTAGCACACGGTAGTGACTGGCCATCCTGCATGAACATTTGCCTTTTAATTAGGGTGTTAATCTTTTTTTTAAACACATAAATCAAATTACCTCTCTCTGTCCTGTAGTGTGATGAGCTGATGTGCTCCTCTGATGCCAGAAAAGCATTCCCTCTATTTATATACGTCTTTATGAACCAACTTGATAAAAGTCATATCACTTTATAGTTTACTCTTATAGCCTCTCTTGTAGTTTTAATTATATATGATCACCCTTATGCTGAATGTAAATTTATTAAGAAAATTTAATTAACAAAGCAACCCTTACAAATCAAGCAATCAAAAATGTACCATCTGTCTCACTCGCATGCTGTTTGCCTCTATATCTTTCGCTCCCTCCCTCCTGATGCATCCTCATCTCGTCTTGCATGTTTCTCTTATGTGTCATGTTGCAGGCATCAGCGGTCAGTACCCTCTGGTTCAGAACATGACTGTGACAGAGGGCGGGACGGCGAACCTGACCTGCCGTGTGGAGTATAATGACAACACCTCCCTCCAGTGGTCAAACCCAGCACAGCAGACCCTCTTTTTCGGGGACAAGAAAGGTGAGTTAAGGACTGACAGACAGCAGCAGCCACACGAGAGATGCAGTCTTACAAAAGTACTCACTGTGTTCGGTTTGTGGTGCTTGAGAAATGCACAAAATGCACAAAAACAGGATTTATTATTATTATATTTTTTCAGGGTTGGAGAGCAACCTTAAATCCCCTCCCCCACCCCCCTGGATTCCTGTGTGTTTGTCACTTGAATAAGCTGCTGTCTTTGTTGTGTCATAGCATCTGTCCCACATTTCATGTGTCTGTGTTTTCCCGTCGGTGCTCTGTTTTCACAGCAAGTGCATTCACAGTACATAGAAAAATTTTTCACTTTAAAACCTCTCCTCAGGGGATTGATAGTATGTGGCTATTATTATTTTTTGCTTCGTCCGTCAACCTTACACACACTAGCCCCTCTGCTAAAGAGAACACTCGGTGGTGAGAATAGATATGGCCAGCTCATTCTCTGACTTGTTTTGCCTGGAACAGGATCACCAGTGGTGAGCATCCCCTGCCATGAACAATTTGGGAGCTTTGATGTTTCTGTTGTTTTTGTGTGCAGTGCATTTTACTTCACTGTCAGAATTGTTTATTGTGTATATTCGATAGTTGGAAAGTAGAAAATGATAAACACAGCTGTCATTTGGATAGATTTCGAGATCAGCAAGGGTATAAAGAGCAGGCTACTGTAGATAGCTGCAGTAGCTTTTGTGACTGATTTATATTGATCTACATCCTTGACTACATTGACTACATCCCATTGAAAGGAAGTGGTGTATCAAATCAGTTTTTTTTCAATACTTTTCTATTTGAATCAAAATATGCATACTCAAAAGTTTAATATTGTTGTTCAAATCAAGTTAGAACATGAGCCCACACACTCTCCAAGTCAACCATTCACCCTGCTAAGTGCCCTTCACTGCAATCCTGCAGTACTTAGCTTGTGCCGCCTCTAGCACATAGTTTGAATACAATTTGAGATAAACGAACAAACCAAATCACCTAAACCTTGGATGGCCCAGCATTTTAGCCTTGTGCATAATTGATGGTTTGAGAGCATTAAATTGGTTACACACCCACTTTCACATTTCGGAGTAAAGCATGAACAGTTACTGGCAATGGACTGTACCTTGCTTTGCACCCAATTAGCTATTTGGTGGTGTGGGGATTTTCAAGGTATTGCAATGTTTAACAGACCAAAGTGAAGACAACATAATACTGTACCACTATAGCAACTACAGTGGAATTTTGTAGCAAATATCACTGATGAAGGTTAGCCACAGTAAGGGATTCAGACAGGCGAACGATACTTACATACAATACAAATTAACTACAACTAACCAATTCAGTACTTTAACATGCCCACTGGTCATGTCAGAATGAGTAAGTAAGTAAGTAAAGTTTATTTATATAGCACCTTTCACAGATAAAAATGACAAAGGGCTTCACAAGAAAATGCAATGCAATACAACAAAGTGAGATACACCAAATTAAAACATAGATAGGATACACAAAAAAAACATAAATTAGAGAACCTTAAAACCCTTGTATAAGTAAAAGCCTGTTTAATTCAACAGAATTGAAACAACGTAGAAAGGGAAGCGATGGATGAAGTCACTCGATAAAATGTGTTTACTCAAACGTGTGAATTTAGGTACAGTTTGCATTTGGTTTTAACAATGCGACATAATTTAAGCTAAATAATAAGCTAAAAAGCTAAAGTTACTGTTACTCAAATTTTGTCTTTATTAACTGTTGAAATTAAATTGATTTTTTTTTACTTTTACTTTAGTAACTTTAACAACCCCATCAACCTCACCCCCCACTTCCTGAGAGAAAATAGCCTGAGAATGATGTGATCTGCAGAAAAGGCTCTGAGCTTTGTATAATAAACAGTTCACATACGGGAGCCCTGCAGAGAAATTCCTTCAATTAAACGGATGCAAACTTTCATTGTCTTCACACACATTTACAGGCACAGTAACGCACACACACTAACATATACACACGCGCAAAGCCACCAATCTTTTAATGGCTAATAAGTACAAAGAGTTTATTCCTGACCTTTCACATCCTCTTCAGTAAAGTCTCCATAAAGAGGATTCATGGGTGTTATTTTGTTGGTTCATGACTGCTGAAATGATTGTGCCCTGTGCGTCTCTCAGCTGTATTAGTCGAGTGTAATAGAGTATGAATCACACTCTCTTGTAAGTGTCTGGATTAAGCACATATGGGATTTACACAGTCTTCTTCCATTATCCTTCTGCCCACTGGGCTGCCTTGTGCATTTGTGTGTTCACGCGCTGTGTGTGTGTGTGTGTGTATTTTTGCATACAGTAAGTGAATGCATGCATGTGCAAAGTATTTCAATTTTCAACCATTCACATTTTCACATACCTACCTTTTTCAGAAAGAGCATCAGTAAAAAGTTGTATTGAACATCAAATTCAACAGTTGATGTTCTCTGCAGGTTATTCCATATCACACCAGGGGTCAGGCTTGGGGGTCTATTTCATGGCATTTCCAGTGCAGAGCTCTGAGATTGGAAATGAAAAATCAGCCAAGGACTCTTCTATTATCAGAAAAGCAAAGGGATACTACTGAGGCCTCAGAATTGCATTGCTGTTTTGGGTCGGTTGGTTGGTGTGTGTGTGTTTGTGTGTTTGTGTGTGTGCGCTTTGGGAGTTGTTGTGCTGAATGTGGCAAATTCAGATGCACATGCTGATGGGAGCACTGAGATGGTGAGTGTTTCCAAAGTGCCACTGGCAGTGTGAGAAAGGAAAGATGTCTCAGCTGCAAACGCCTTTGAGCACAGTAGGTTTCAGATTAATTTTCCTTGCTGCCTGTTGGGGAGAAGAAGATGGGATTAGGGCAAGCACAGAGTTGCTCAAAAATACAACCCCGTTTTACCAACTTTTTGCATACTTTGCTCTGTTGCAATTAGTTGAAAAATATCTGTTTTGGTTCTTTACATACAAGAACTTGTTTTTATAAAGTTCAACATGCACCTTCTTTAAAGTTAGTGGTTGATTTCAAATAAATATTATAAGTATTGTACAATTGTACAAATATTGTTTTATTTATAAGTCAATGCAGAAATTTTAACTGGAAGATTATTTTGAGTGTTGAGTCCTCAAGTATAAAACACGTCTTATTATGTGAGTTATTCAGTGCAGTGTAAACTAAGAGGTGATTCATAGAAAATATTTAGGTATTTAATATTACAGATTTATACATATGTTGGCAACTATCCCAAAAATATCAGCTGAATCTGTTGTCTAAGTCAACAGATTGTTGTCTGTGCACATGTGCCTGCACGTGCATGTATTGCATCTCAAAGAGTGTGACTTACATCCTCTAATAAAGTCAGAGCATTAGCATAAACATATTGGTTTTTCAAAGACAAATGCAGTAACTGACTCCATTACAGTCCTTAGAGTGGTGCCGGTTTCGCGGCTGTTGTTGTTTAATGTCAGTGCTGAAGCTCACTTCTAAGACGTTTAGTTCGATGAAAGAGACTCCTCTTGTCTTCCGTCCTCTCGAAGGTGCTCCAATGGCTGTGAAGAGTTGTTTGAATTTCAAATAAGACATAGTCCCGAAAGTAGCCAATTTTGTCCTTTCGATCACTTACCACTGAGGGACTTAAGCTTTGGACCGACAGTGAGAGAGAGATGAGCACTGGGCAAGAGGGATTATCTCTTTTATAGGATTCAAAAGAGGCTAATATCTTTTTACAAATTGCTCTTTTGGTTTCATGTAATTCAAGACTTGATAATAGCTTTATTTCCTGGATGGAGAAATTTTGCAATGAGGCATAATTACAATTTCTTCGTTATTCCCATACTAGAAAGACCCTATGTGTAATTACTTTCCAGGCTAAATTTGCAGGCCTATTTAGTGGACTCATCGTGTGTGAGCACTGGCTGAGGTATGACATTTAAATCATTTATTCAACACGGTTATTGTAATTTGCTAACCCTTTTTCATCCCACTTCTTTTCCAACACCCACATCTTTATTTTCATTTTCAACCTGCAGTCCACCCTTGATCCCTTTCCCTTCTCTCTAATTATCTGGCCACCCCTGCTTTCCAGAGTCTGGCAGGATCATGGTTTTCTGTCCTTACAATCATCATAAAGGATACTACTACAGCACACATTTGGTTTACCTGAATATATCATAGCTTTTTCCAAAATGTGGCTTAATGCAGCAGGGAAATGTATTGGCAGATGTATGGAAACAAAAGGTGCTGGATGCGTTTCTCAGGTAGGATGTCAGTTGTTAGCGTTGTGACATTAGGGTATCGGGGTGTCATGGTAGAGAGAATCTGGTTGCACTACAAGATGAAACAGACATTGCTTGCTTCATAGTAGTGGAATAATTATTTCTTCAAGGTCATATTTCAAGAGTCTTGGGTTTATTTTGGAAATAACTGCATTTTTATTCAGTTTTGACCTCTTTCTGACATTAGGAAATGATTTTCAGCATGTACATTGGCAACGTATCCCCCTTTTTTGCATTATTTAATAATCATTTTTTTATTATGGTTTAATTTCATTTGATTTAAAAGTTTAATTTTTAAAAGAATCATAAGGTTAATTTAATAATTACTTATTATATTACACTTTTGAAATATGGGCCAACAGTGTTTACATTAACAAATGCAATATCAAATTAACATTACTTCTCCATTACCACTACATGACCTCGTGCATGATTCAGTTAATTACACCAGTATTCGTCCATACTATATCTTATACTGTTGAGTATTTATTTGTATACATCGGAGATGACACCTTGGCAATGAAATTATCCAGACATAACAAATATGCAATGCAGTTATACAGACATTACTGTAACAACATGCTTGATTTATGTTTTAAAATGTTGCCAGATGAATGCAAATTTTGAGGCCACATTTATGGTTTTGAGATAGATTGGTCTTGGCTCATGCTGTTTCACGGAGAAGACAGACCGTGAAAAGGTCACAGTGACTGTGAATTTCTCCTCAGTCTGAACTCAGTGAGTCACCCCACACATGCATTTGGTACATTAGTATAATACAGTTTTGTCTACATATGTATAGTAACAGTATCTGAAGCAATAATAAGTTGATGATGTTTGCAAAATTACTAAAATGTCCATCGTACCTGCACTGGACATCTCTGCCAGCGCTGTGCCATCTGCAGATTGATTTCTTAATCTGTTTAAACATTAAGATTAGTGTTATGGGTGAACAGCTAAGGGCCAACTGCTCGTTTTAAGACCCCTGAGCTGCTGAATACGAAGCTATTCGGGTCCTCAGATGTCAAATATTCAGCTGTCTGAATCAATTTGCTGGCTGTTTGTGGTTGTGTGTTGTGTGTTTGTGTGTGTATGTAAGTGCACATATGTGTGTGTGTGTGTGTGTGTGTATGTATGTGGAATGTCAAGCATTCCACCTCCCCTAGTATGCAACCATGAAAGCTTTGATGCATTCAGAGTATCTGTGCCTGAGCAATTTAGGGGATAGGCTTTTAAAAGTTTTCCAAAGTAAATAACAAAATAAGAAATGCCTGACAGACTTTTTATTTAACAGATAGCAGAACTTTCTCTCAAAATTTAATCTTAGCAGGAAAGTTAAACTTTTGAGACAGCTGTCTTTTTTTTTTCCTGGAAGAGTGCCTCTGTGAAACATCCTTTCATATCGGCCTGAAGATTGGTACGGTGTTCTCTCTGATAGAAAAAAACTTGACTGTAAATCTCCAAAGATCCCTAACAAGTCCCCCTTCTCCAAGACAAGGACCATAAAACATGAGAGGATGAAAAAGAGGAAAAAGGAGACGGAATGTAGGCCTTGGTGGGATAAAGGAGAGGAATTAAGGAGGCATTTTATGAGAGCTTTCACTTGCGGTTATCCCCTCTGAAAGACACAGGAAAACTTCTCTTTGACCTTGAGCATTGTGCTTCTTCTATCTTTGCCACCTCTCTTTGCACATTGTGTGTCTGAGTGTAACATTCAGCTTTTAATAAAATAAGCTCAATGCAGCTGCTACTTGCATTGTATTTAGAGGTGCAGACAGGTATAATAATTAAAAGCAGAGATCTGTATAGTTGTCAGTGACTGTGTGTGTTGCCTGTGGAGAAACCGGTGTCAGGTAAATGTCAACTTTGTTTCTTCTGCTATACAGCTGTAAAGCAGGTTAGGCTGAGAAAGAGACTACACTATCATATGAAACAGTTATTACTGCCATTATTAGTAGAGTCACATATCATATGGGAGGTGGAGAGAAAAATAGCTGAGGCAAATGGGAATAATTAGCTCACACTTACTGGCAGGCTTATTCTCCCTTTCTTCCAGGAAAAAGTTCTGGAGCACCGGCATGGGGAAAGGAAACCATATTTTCTAATAGGATTAAAAATCAAGAATTATTTTTTGAGGCTTTTTCAAAGCATTATCAAGAAGAACATGTGGCTCTACAAATATTTGCCACTTTCCTTCAGAAGCTTTTCAAAGTCATTTTGAAGGATGGCTGTAGTGGGTACCCTATAAATATGAAACTCCTTATAGACCAAGGTACCTGTTCCTCTACCCTTGAGCTGGAGGGGGAAAAATGTATCGCTATGCAAAATACAATAGGGTTTATAGGCAAGAGCTCTCTCCTCACTGACCTGCTTCTCACAAGGACTTAATGAAGTAGGGCTGGTGGAGGTGTCCCACTGAACTCGGCACGGCAGGTAGAAACTGATGAAAGAAAATCATTTCGGTGACAGGAAAAATCTCCACAAGCCAATTACTGTATGGAGTGTGGCACATTTTCCATTCTGAAAAGCCGGTGTGCCTTGGAACGGTATAACAGGTAATGGAGGTTGAGGAACGGCTGAGATACAGAATATACATTAAGCTATTCAATAAACATTGCATTCTGTTTGCTTCTCTCTCTCTTTCTCTATCGCTCCTTCACACTCACACACACACACACACACGCAGACAAACTCAAGTCCCCACATGGGTTGTTGACAAGGAAAAGAGAACAGTCACATCCAGACACAGACGAATGTATATTCTGAAATTTGCACTTTTCTCATTATAAAACTGTGTCACTTGAATGAGCAAACACCTGCCAAGGTTCTATACTAATACATACTCTGTCCCTGGATAGATGAAAGGACAGGGAGGGGGGGAAGAAGGGGAGGCCCATGGAGAGGATGGGAGGAAAGGGCAGGAGGGAGATAAAGGGGCAAAGTTCAGACCCAAACATACATCCACATTGGTTAATGTGCACGTAGCTTATTAAGACTCATATTTACATTTACTGGTTGGTGTCGACCTCTCACGGCCATAGTAATCATGACAGGAGCAAAAGAGGAAGTCAGATGACGTAGTATAAATTACCTGGAGGAGGAAATGAGTGTATTAGTATTATATTCTAAAAATAAAAAAAAGTATAAAGTTCATTTAATAGTATACTGTTAGTATAATGTTAATATATTTATTCTATAATTTTACAATGTTCATCATCATTTCATATAATAATATACTATAAAGCTTTTCACTAGTCTAATATAAATTCCAGTTAAACAAAACAGCAGTTTCTTTTTGTGGGTTGTTTTCATTTATTAAATCATTCATTGTTGGAATAATTCATCAAGAAAATGGTCTCTAATGTGTTAATGCTAATTTCTAACTCATTAATAATCATAACCATCAATGCAGAACTATGAGGTCAACAGTGAAAGTTTGCGTAGTAGGTCAAACTTTCAGCCCCATCCAGGCTGTGATTGGTCTAACAAGGACATTAATGAGCATTTCAACTTTATGAAAAGTTCACCATGTTTCAGCAAAAGGCATCTGATATAGCTAAATGCCCAGCTAGCCAAAGGCAAACCTTCCTTATATCATCACTATCTTCTGTCTCACTGCTTCAGCTGCAGACGTTCAACTCTGTCGCTGTTTTTGTAACATTGTAACAAGCTGCACAAGCGGCCACTAGTGACCGGAAAGTAATATTACAAAGAGTTCGGTTTAGACCTGCTATATCTGAAAAGTGCAATTAGATATCTTCTGTTATGAATGGGTGATAATGTAACAACAACTACGACAAAGCAGGAGGAACATCGCTTTTCCACTTTACCTGCTTCACTGCCTCCACTGCGGCTTCTCTGCTGTCGGCTGTGTTTGACTATTCGCTTATGGGTGTACTCTGTATTCCTGTAAAAATAAATGAATCTTTACTGTATAAATTGAATTAGGCTACCTATTAATACAGTAGTCGAGGTAATCGATTACGTAAATACGTTGACTCGCATTACGCGTGTCGACGCGTTGCCGCATCCGGTGTCAGCAGGGATTGACAAGCTCTAGCTACAAGACCACGCCTTCGACCGTCTAAAGTTTGGGAGCATTTTAGACAGACACTCAACAACATGCTGCTCTGTGAGCTCTGTGAACTGGAAATAGCTTCACTGCAGCACAACTGCTGTCCACGAATATGTGAAGCAGCATGAACACCTGAACCGAAAGTATCCCAGGGCACTGACGGCAGCACCGCAAATCGTGTTTACTTTCTGTGTTCACATAAGCACGGCACATTATCAGCACAAGGACACGTAGTCCATTAAAATTTATTTCTTCATCGCCTTCATGTTAAAAGTAATTTTTGCTCCACTGCTGTCATGGTAAAGTAACGTTACACAGTGTGTCATCTAACGTTCGGACGTTTCATATTTTCTGTTTATTTAATGGCCACATATGAGGAAGAGCTAAATCTGATATTACAGACAATCTGTTACTGTCTGTACAGTGTGTGAATCGTTCCAGTTGTTTTCTTTGCCCACACTGATGCAGAAATACATTTGATTATCATACCGCATCACTCAATATTGAAATAAATCCATGTCAGAAAGTTTGAAGTAAAGTAGCCTAATTAATGGCTGTTATTGTTATTATCACAACACATCAGTGATGTGGAAATTGGATTCATTTTAAGATTTGCTACTACTGTCATTATTCCAATGTGCTTCATCAGGATGATTGAATAAAATATTGATTTATTAATTAGACATGTTTATTTTGGATAGATCGTCATGTTAATTGAGTTAGGCAATATTTTTTTCTTTATAATACACAAAATTAGTTGTTAGATTAATCGACTAATCAAAAAAATCATTGTTAGATTAAACGATTTGAAAAATAATTGTTATGTACAGCCCTACACACATGCATACACATGCCATGTTTACTCAACTGCTGCTTTTAATGATGGAGGGGAGAAGCTGTGGAAAGCTGCTAGATATGCAGCTATTTAGCTACAAGTATGTGCACACCTTCTACGTACTACATAGACCTCGATGTACGATGATATGTTGCAACTGTGTGAGGCTCTGACAAAACCATCAGCTGTGGTGTGATAATAGATTTAGGTGTCTCTAAAGTCACTTTCAAACCTTTACTTTGGTTGCTTGAGACAAAAAGGAATGATAATGAATGCCTTTTAGTTGCTCTGTCACAAACCAAGTGTTGTAAAAATGAAGGTTAAATGATTTTTGGACATTTTTGTAGTCCTGCATGTCATCCTGCATCCTGGGGTAATAATAGTGATCAAAATAAAACACTGGTATTATATATATATTATATATATATTATAAAACTAGTAACTATGTTTGGAGCAGGGGTTGTTGTGTGTGTCTTTGTGATTGTGTGCTTGGGATGCATTCATGGGTTGTCAAATAGCCGGATATTCCTAAAATACAGTACAGAATATTTGTAATTTGCTCTAAGCACAGGCAGACACAAGTGGTTTTCTTGCTACTGGTTTATTGAAGTCCTTGCTCCAAATCCACCGTGAAAACTAATAAAACAACATTGACGAGAACATATAAAAATGATGTTAGCCACATCAAGGTCTGCTTTAGCCACCATGAAATTTTTCATCGGAACACACACAAGTCCATGCTATCTGCTGCCCGCTGGTGTTGAGCAACAGTACAACTCATGCGAGAGCAGCCCAACAACACTTGTAAGTGACTTCAAAATAAAAGCATAAATAACAAATGTTACTTAAATAGAAAAAGGGAAGTATACAAATTACAAAAATGTAATTGCAACTTACAATGTTGTTAAAACCAAAAAACAAAGAAGCGTCTTTCATGGAGGGAAAAAAAAGCATTGCTGAGAGAGAGAGGTGAAATGTTGATCCAAAAGAGGAAATGATTTGGTGGAAATTGCCATGCACACTTTTTATTGACCTGTTACTTATTAATTGTTCAAATATTATGATTGAATGTAACATCATACAGACCTTGTGATTGTATCCATTCACAGTCAATTTCAATTGGACTGATTCACTAGCTGATTGAACGTCTACCCACAGAATAAAAACGTCACTTTAAATTTAAAAGAAACAAGACATCTTTGACCTTCTATCTGTGCAGCTTCTCTCTGTCTCACTGTCACACATTTTCAAAAATGAGCCTTTCTTCTCATCATCTGCAGATTATATTGAAAAGAGATTGGTGATCCACTCTGTTTTGTCCATTTCTGAATATACTTTATGGGAACAGAGAGTGTTGTGGCTTTGGTGTTATGGCTGTTTACTATGTTATCTGATCAGTCATGATCAACATCAACACTGCTCCTCTGAGCCGACGGTCATCAGCGCTCACATTAAGATGAGAAATTTTTCTGAATATCAAGCTGTATCTGCTTTGGCCAAAAAAAACACTGTATGGTTGTTGCAGAAACAAATAAAATGGACCAGTACAGCTTTGCTTTCAGTCTCCCTTTCTATACACACAGAGAGACACAGACTTAGGCTAAATTAACAAAAAATATGGTTGTACATTCAGTAAATAGTTACTGTGGAATACAAACCTCCACTCTTTGATGTTGACGTCGTCCTCCACGAAAACATTCAGGACTGTCGGCACTAATGGTCTCTAATGGATGGCAGGCAGCTGCAGCACCTTTGCAGACAAATAGCAAAGGATACATTCCTGTCCTCTATTCTCTCTGTCGATATCCAACCTTTCACTGGGCATAGAATGAGAGATGGCAACATTGCTAGGGAGAAGAAAAGTGAGAGGGAAAAAAAGAGAGACAATAAATGGAAGACTTTGTACGTTGTACATTTAATGGAAAACTCTTGAAAAAAATAGGAGTCATCTGTACTGTATGTGTGTTCGCTCCTTTCTTATTACCTCCGCCAACGAGGTTTAGTTTTTGGTGCCTTTTGTTTGTTTGTTTGTCTATCCACAGGATTACGGAAAAATACTACTACGACTACCCAAATAATTCGCTTTTGTTAACATTGCAAGATAATTGTATGTCTATGGAAAAATGAAACAATGACTTAACAAAACATACAACAAAACATAACCGCAACCTCAAACATCACTGTAGAAACAAAGGCAGCAGGTATATAAGAAATAAAACATTTCCTCATACCTAAACAAGCAAATAGGTTGTTTGCCTCCCAAAACAGCATATATGACCGTTTCCCTAAAAGACATATATGACTGTTGGGAAGTACCAGTTCAGTACAAGATTTACGTAAGTCACATGACATAAATCTCTTAACTCACATGACTTACATCACATGAGTTTAGTTTGATTTCACCTCTGTCTCCTCTGTGAAAGTCCTGAGTTTGGCCAATCAAGCCACCACTTCCGCCTCCTTATGCGCACTTTCTTACTCTTTATACTACAACACCTGACTTCCTCCTTTGCAACTGTTATACTGCCACTAGAGGTCACAGCCACAATACAATCGTTTTTCTGGTGAGGACAGGCTGAAGAAATAAGCAATCTGAGAATTTCTGTAGGCTATTAATCCGGAATTCCAGACTTTCTAACCTACACGAAGTACGTAAATGTAAATACTGTAATTCTAATAGTTCAGGAAATATATCCAAACATACATTAGTGGTTGCTGTTGTGGTTTTGCATATCATAGAAAGTTGTACTACTGGCCTTGGTGGAGGTCTGCGCTCTCCGATTGCCCTTCTAGTTATTGTATATGAAATCTTGGTTTTCATGTTTTAAATAAATCACGTTTATTGTAATGTCAGCCATATACATTATTATAATGTATATGGCTGATTTATATTAAATGAGACAAAAAAGCTATGATACTATCATAAATCTAAGAATTTAAAGACACAATTTAGAGTCTGGATGGATAAAATAATGAAACACAAAACCATCTTGGCAGTATTGTTTGTCATATGCTGTCCAAAGGGTAGTTTTTGACTGAATTATAGTATATATATAGTTATATCATTATTTAATGGTGATATGCATCGCCTTTCATGTTTCTAAATCCAGCCCGAATCCATGCTTTAAGGGGGATCAGGATGATCCTGCTTTTTGGCATCTAAACTATCCTAATCACCGCCTGTAGCCACTGAAAAAATGCAGAAACAACACTTTATGCAAGATTGCATTACTAAATCCAGATTCCAGTCTAAATGATCAGAATCTTTAGATTCAGTTAAACTGGAGTATTGAAATCCTATATTATTATCTGTGTTCATTGATGTATCATGCAGGTGATGATTGACAGGAAGTTTTGATATTAATAGTTATTCAATCAACTTGCTTCAGCCTAGTCACGTTACAATTAGACCCTATCATTATAAACACGAACGTCATCATCACAGCTTTTCAAATTATTGAGTTCATGTTGTCATTACCTTGCTTAGGTAGTCAGAACAAGTCAGAATATTCTATATAAGAAACTATCTATCTATGTCTGTTCCTCACTCTCACACAAACAACTTCCCAGAATGGGCTGTTGAGGAGAGGAAAGGAAGAAAGCTGAGTTGCATCGTGACAGCTAGCAAGCCAGCCACAGTAAATGTATTTTCTGACATTTGCCTGCTCTTACTTCCTTGCCCAAAGCAAATAAGACAACAGTTGAAAAGAAGCATTGTTTAACTTGTACACATCCACAGGTTAGTGGAGCTGCCTGAGTCGACAGAATGAGGTCTGTGGGGGTAGGAGAGAAAGTGAGAGACTGACTGAAAGAAAGACAGAAAGAAATACAGAGCCAAAGATAATCTATTCTTTGTCTATTCTAAGTCCAAATAGTCTATTCTTTGTCTTAGTTCATTATTTGATTAGAACAGGTGTATACAGTTGTGTGTATACATACTGCATGAAAGATAACAACTATCTTTTCAGGACAGTTATCACCATTAACTGAACTGGCAGTGCGTTAGACTAAATCTAATTTGGGAAGTCTTGCATTGATGGCCATGTGTACTCATACATGCGCACAGGA